TTGAATGTGCTAGCTTAATTTCTATTTATTTTCTTTCAGGGAAAAGTGGCCCCTCAGGAAATAGTCTGCTTGAAGGGAAATGCAGTAATCCAAAATGTCTCTGGATTACTGCATTTCAAGAAGGAAGTGATAGCTGGAATGGATGAAGGGTCTAGATGGCCAGTTGAAGTTCTGGATCACGATGTCTGTTGCCACCTCCCCACTTCTCCTCCCCCTCCCCCAACAGCCTCTTTTGGACTATGGTCTAAAGATGTTCTTCCTTGGTAGAAACCTTGAGGAGAATAACAATACAAACACCATTTGTCCTTCCCCTGAAGAATACAACTGGAATACAGATGCCTCCGCTGATAATAAAGGGTTTTGTCACACATTTTCTTGTAACAGTTCCAAATCATTGGAATGCAGCGACCTATTAAAGTTAGCACATATTAGGAGATAATCCTCACCTGACACGAAACAATTTACAACATGACAAGGGCATTTAACACATATTAAACTGCTTGACCATGTGCCTGCTTGAATTTTAACTGCACTTAGTGGGTGCCTATACACTAGCAGACTCAATTAATCAATTCATCATTTGGTCAATTTTCAAGTAGATCAGATCTATCAATTAATTGATTAATCTAGTCTACTGGAGCATGGTAATTACTGCACTCCAGCAGACTTCAGTGTCTCATGTATCAGTGTTCCCACACTGAAAAATGGCAGCGGGGGCACTTTAACTGAAGCTTGTCCAGGGATGCTGGTGCTTTTCCAGAGAAGCTTGTCCAGAAGATACTCCGGGTGCTTTAATTAGAAATGCTCAGTAAGTGTTAATTTGAATGTGCAATACTAATCGAAGGGTAAAGATTCAAAACCTGTTGCAAGAATGCAGGGGAATCAGGCCCCCTATTTGCAAAGTAGTTAGAAAATGATAATTAGCCAAATTATTCTAGACCTTAGATTTAGTGGTTAAAAAATTGAATTTAGCTTAGTTACTAGTATATTTTATATGCCATTTATTGAAGCTTCCTTAACAAACAGTTGTGACTACCCAGATATTTGTAGATACTACAGCACCTGAGTCACAAAGCATAGCACATACTGAATATCTGATCTACTTGAAAATTGACCAGACTTATTTGGTTTTCTATCCAGTACCTTTTGCTGTTAAAAGTTGAATTGAATTCATGCTGCTGCTGCTAGTTTTAGAACCACGAATATGCTGGTAGGTGCACAAGTTCAGATTTTCAGCGATACCAGTGTAATTCCAATTTTCACTCTGAAAATCAGGATTTATATTTTCTTTGCTTTGAGTTACTATACTTTTTTGCAACATGTCTAAATGTCTGAAATGTAGACATGTGTAAAATGTAATAGTAGAAGCTAGCCAGCAAATACCTTTATTAAAATGAGCCACTAAAGAAGCATTTATGTCAGTTTGGTTAACATCTTTTCCTCTTGCTGCCTATGCCTCACATGTAATTTCCTGTTCCTTAATGCTGGGTCCCTGATAAAATTGCTTGAAAAGGATTTGCTTAAGTGGCTAGTAGCTGGGTTTGTAGAGCTGAAGGAATGGTCTGACAATCCAAGCAAACTTTCTTTTTCACTCCACAAAATACTGATTTAGCAGGTCTTAAAGCTTTCTACATTCTTCTGTTCCTCATATTTAACACCTAAAATAACTATTAACACTTTTATATTCTGTTATAAGAACAGTAGGTTAAGGGGATTTAAATATTACTGCCTGGCTCAAGTTTCTTAGATCTTATTAGATTTTTCCTGGGTTCTTGGAAATGGCAAGGAAATGTATTAGTCTAGAGCTGTTCAATTTCTGAGCAGATTGGGGCTGAATGCTGTATGGGCCATGGGACCCCTGGCCTACATAGACTCCATGGTCCCTGGCTGTGCAGGCTACATGGGCTGAGCTGCCCCAGGGGTAGGGGCAGGAAGCAGAAGGCAGTGGAGAGAGACCCCAGAAGCAACAGAAAGTGCAGTTTGAGGAGGTATGGCAGCCCAAGCAGGAGCCAATAGGCCAAAAGTTAATCACTCACTGGCTGCATGTAGTCTGTGGGTAGGACAGTACTTTGAGTCTACTGAAATCTAGATCACATGCAAATACTTTTAATTTTCTCACAGTATTTTTTAATACTGTATCTGTTTAAATTATCAACTATTAATAGCCTCCCATCACTACTAACTGATACCAAATTAAAGGAAATAATTAATAAAAATTATAAATCATTAATTATATACTCTCCATTAAACATAATTCATTAATTATATACTCTTACCTCTCTTTATATTTGGGAATTGACCATTTTATCAAATGTGTTGGTTGTTTGAAATTAATTATCAAATCATTTCTAAAAATAAATTCTGCAGCTAGTTTTGGAGCAGTTCACAGTGGGTATTTGATATTTGAGTTGTTTTATAGAAACACAGAGAAGACAGGGTTCCTCTGCCATCAAATCTAGTCCCCTCCATTATTAATCTAACCGGTCACATCTATAAGAGACATTTACTGCAGAGCTACTTAATTTGCTCAGCAGCAAAGCATATGTGCAGCCTGATTAGGGTACAGTAAACTAATTAACTTTGCTGTAGGTTAGTACTTGTAACCACATGTACTATCCTATGGTAGTGTTCTTTAGTGTGCAGTTTCAAGATGAAACGGGATGCTCATCTTGCTGGGATCCTATGACCCCAGCTGACTTCCTGCCCTTTGGGCAGGGGGCTGGACTCGATGATCTTCCGAGGTCCCTTCCAGCCCTAATGTCTATGAAATCTATGAAAATCTATGAAATGTAGACAAGGTTCTCTCTAAGCTGCGCGCGTGCGTGGCCACGCACAATAAAAAATTTTGCCGCACAGTAACTTTTTAATGCTGCGCACTGGGGCTGGCATGGGACACTTACTACTCGGCTGCGCGGGGGCTGCTCCGCTCCACCTTGCTCCTCACTGGCATTCCCGCGGGGAGGGAAAGCACAGCCCTGGCTGGAGCAGCCAGTGAAAGGCTGAGCCGCTGATCAGTAGACAATCATCGCCCCCGCCCTTTCCTCCTCCATGCCTGCAGTGCAAAGCAGGCAGAGGCTCCTCCCCAAGGCAAAGCAGGGGCAGGGACCAAGCCGGGCACCGCATGGGTTCCACTGGCTCCAGGGAACTGCTCCGGTCCCCAGCCCCTTCAGGCAAGCTTCTCCCCAAGCCCCGCCGGCTTCACCCTAATCTTAGCTTTCATCCCTGTGCCAGAAACCCCACAGCTCCTGCGCCAAAGCCCAGCAGCCCCATGGGTCTTCCGCACTCTGTCTGCTCCCCTCCTCCACGCCTTGCTGCAGCCTTTGAAAGCGATGCCATGTGCCTTGCTGCCTGATCTGCCCAGCGGTGGGACGCACATGGCGCCACACTGCTTTCAAAGGCTGCAGTGAAGCACGGAGGAGGAGAGCAGGTAGAGTGCAGTCTGCATGTGGATCCAAGAGACATGACAGGGAGGTACACACACTTCATGTAACGAAGATACTGGAGACACAGACAGCTCTTTGGTAACTGAAGGCAGAGAACTGAAATGCTTGCCCGTATTTAAGTATTAATTAAGTCTTAATCCTGGCCACATCAACATGATTACAAGGTAGCATGTGGGTATTACAGCTAGTTTCTTCTATTATTTACAACAATGCAAATTAAAAGCAGAATTGGGCCTTTAAAGAAAAACATCTAACAAGATAATAAATAGACTAAGATGAATATTAAAGAATGCATCTGGTACACAGTGTAATATTAAATATTAAAGGGGGAAGCAGGACCAATTCGGGAATGGACCAAAGCAGTGTGCTCACGGACCAAAGCGGTGTGCTCACGGACTGAAGCGGGGTGCTCATGTATCGCTACACCTTAGAGGGAACATTGCATGTAGATACTGATGGAGTTGGATGGGGCACGAGGGTGCATCACTGCAGGGCTCAGTGCATCCTCGTGGCCCAGTCAACCCCTCTGCAGCATGCTGAGGCAAGACAGAGCAGCCCCATGCTGGCAGGCTGACTCAGCAAGTCCCCTGCCAACTGAAGCTACTCTGACCCAGCTCAATGTGCTGCAGTTCCAGGCACATGTGTAAATGCAGCACCCAGAAGCAATGAACTCTGATGCAATATGTGCCAGAGTTTATTTCATCACATTAATTTTACATGTAGATGTACCCACAGATACCAAGAACTACTACTTCAAACCCTCACACACAACTACAAAGTGCAATGAAAAGGAACCAATGCCAAGGTAAAAGTAGGGAGGATGAGCAAACCACCAATGTTCTGCCATTGCAATGACAGAAAAATAATTGATTAATACATGTTCAGAAAATCCTAGGAAAATAACCATGTTCCACTTTTAGTGGAATCATGAGTTCTATCCCTGATTGGATGACTGTAACTCTTAAAATCGGCATTTTTTCTTTGTGTGTTTGTTTATAGATAACAATTTGCAGATAATCCCAGAACCTTCAGTAAAGGTACTCTTGGAGGCAGTGAACTGAGCCCAGTATATTCATTGCACTTTGTAATACTACTCAGATACAAGGGGGGAAAAAAAAAACTTTTAAAAAAGCAATAATATATTTTACACTGCATAAAGATGAGTTTGATATAGTACAAAATGTCATACAATGTATATATAATAATGCTTTATTTTTTTCAATATTTTTGTTTCTTTTCATTTGTATAAATCTTACCTTAATTATAGTGCATACAGCATCAGCTCTTGAGGAAATAGTAAGTTACGTAATATTGTATATGCCATGCTGTTGCATCCTGTTTCATAAATATATGGCATTTAGAGTCTATGAAAATTAATGGAAATTTTGTAGAGTATGTGTGTAAATAGAATGAAAGCCAATGACTTCTAGTTTAGACAGAATAAGCCCCATCATTCATTAGACAGATGCATGGCAATGGATGCTTATTCCTGCAAACAATACTGTAAGCACAAACAGTATGTGCACACATTCTTATGGATATTTCTAAAGAACTTACAGCTGCTGTCCTGTCCACCTCACACCGGCTACTCAGAATGAAACAGGCTTCGGCATCATCCATTCTAAAAGCAGATGGAAAAATCAAAAACTATCAGACAACATATATATATATATATATATATTCAGACATGTCCTACTGTCATCTATGGCAGTGGTTCTCAACATTTTTTGTACTAGGACCCATTTATAAACATTGATAGCCAGTCCCAACCCAGTTCCCCTCACTCCTGACCCATGCCTCCCCACCAGGTCCCAGCCCCTCAGTGTGTGGGGCAAGGGATGGGTGTGTGTGGTAGAGTGGGATGTGTGTGAGGCACGGAGAGCCCAAAACAGTCCCTTGCAGGCTGGAACTCTACCAGCCTGCAAGGAAAAACCCATGGTTTCCCACATTTTTCTCTTTTAAAAGTGAATTCATTTTTAAAGTTTGTTCATGACCCTTTCATATATTCTTGTGACCTGCTTTTTGCGACCATGGGGTTGAGAAATGCTGATCTATTGCAGCAATTCAAATATACACATTTCATAAATGCTTACTATGGACTTTTTATAGCAACTGTTCATGATACCTTTATGCCCAAGGCTAGCCCATCCTATCCTGAAGATCCTATGGCCACAGGGGACCCTGCAGCCAAGGGGCCATGCCCCGCTTGCCCCCCGCTACCTGTGCCATGTTTAAAGGACTCAATGCAGGCAGGGAGCCCATTCCCAGCCGAGCTCCTGCCTCGGCCCTGGGAAGGGAACCCAGCCATCCTCAGCACATGCTACCCCCACCCACGCTCCCTGCAGCAGAGCCCACATGTGTGCAGCCCAACCCCGACTATTTATTTCAGTGAGTTTATACTGCAATTAACCACAATTTTGATTTTTCAATACATCAGGGGGCCCCAAAACTATAACTTGCAGGGGGCCCCAAAAAATTGTGGGCCAGCCCTGTTTATGCCTAGGAACTCTTACTCCATTACTGGCTAGAGAGTATGTGTGAGTTTGAGGGGGAGGAAATGGAGAGAGCCTTTTAAAACCAGGACTTTTGCAACCAGAAGGGTAGAGCAAGAGGCTACTTAAGCCCAGAACTGAGAGAAGACAGGTAGTCTGGCCCAGATACTACTAGAGAAAGAAGCTGTTGTACATGAACAATGAACTGGGATAGGCCCAGAAAGGCTGGAGCTGGATGTAGCCAGCTAGATAGAGGGTAAGGCTTAAGAAAAAGGCACCTCAGGAGCTTTTAGTGTTTATTTGAAACTGCTCACGTGTTTTGATTATTTTGGACAAGGAATACTCCTGGCTTCAAAAGCCTTGCTGCAAGGAATTGGATGGATAGATAAGGGAGAAGGGAGGGTGTTGAGGGCACTTGGGTAAAATGCATGGTATGTAGAGTCCCAGGAGACAGACAGGAAAGTTGACAGCCCTAGTTAGCTGAACTAGACTTGACAATGCCAAGGAACTGATGTGGGCTTGACAAGGCCTGTGGACCAATGTTGGCTCAATGAGACCTGGGACCTGAGTGCAGCTTATTAAGGGCTGGGGATTGAGTTGATGCTTATTAAAGCCTAAGAACTGAGAGAGGCGAATGTAAGGCCTGACAATTTATGTGCAGCTGACAGCCTGGAGGCAAGCTTGTGCGGGGGAACTGAGGAACCAGACAGAAGCCAAGAAAACTGGTTTCATCATGGGAGATAAGCAATTGACTGCTGTGTAGGGGCTCACCAGGCAGTGATCTTAACTGGGTCAGACTTGAGATGGTCCATATGATAACAATGTGGAGAGAGGCACCCAAAGCATTATTCTGGGAGAACTGAGGGCTGACTCCCAATAAATATATAAGGCCAAAGCATTGCAAACAAAACCAGGGTGGCCAGTAGGATGCTGAAGTGAAAAGCAGGGTCAGTCTGATTGCCAGAAGATGTCAGTCGGACTTAGAACATTGGATCTGCCACACTTAGAAATGTCTTAGGCCAAAGTTTTAGGTTCCCTGTGTTCATATGTTTTCTAAAAGTCAGTGGTTGCTGTGTTTGTCCATATAGCGGCTACACGGAAATACATGATGGATTTCGACATCACATTCTAGGCTGAGGTTTGCTCCTTTTGACCTGTGTATTGCTATTTATATCACTGTAGTTAAACAAGTGAAACCAAGAACAGAATTATGCAGGGTTATATTTACTAATCTGGGATTCTGGGATTCTCGTAAACCTGAATGTCAAGTTTATATCAGTTGCATCAATTACATCAGTGCAAAATGAGGCACTGCTTCTGTATGTACTTCATGTGATTTTTATTTTACTAATATAAGCTATCCCATCATTGTTTTTTGCAACTTGACACAACGGCAGGGCCATCCAACTTTAAAGTGGCTGGAGGCCCTGTGAGCCACACAGCAGGGGCTACACATTGTTCAGGCTGAACCACTGTGAGCCACAGACCATTCAGCATGCAATGTGGGCACCCTCCACACTGCACCACACATGTGTCCTGGCTTCAGCCACAGCTCTCCAACAGTGGACTTCCCCACTGTACTGTGAACTTCCCTGTGCTTTGCTATCTCCTGAGGTGAAGTTAGGAAGTGGAAGCCAGTAGAGGGAGGAGGAGTGTAGTGATCCTGGCTGCTACTGCAGCCAGTGATGGGAGGGGTGACAGCTTGGTTGGAGCCTGTGACAGGACTCAAATTAATCCCTCATAGGTCACATGTCAGTTGTGGGCCCTGAATTGGACAGCTCTGCACTGGGGTAGTGGCATTACATTATAAGTTTCACATCATGACTTCAATGGCATTATTCGTATGCATAACATTAAATACATGCATAAATGGCCACCAAGGGGGCCCAAATATCATAATTTAGAATCCAAGAAAATAGAAGAAGGTTATCTGTTCACTGATATTGATAAGTTGCAGCACAAATTTGAGGTATTTATGAATAGTGGTTTTAAAGAAGGTGAGGCATTAGATGGACTATATCAAATTAATTGCTTTGCATTCATATATTTCTATTTTTCATTGCTATGCACTTGAACGTCACAAAGATTATTTTTCCAGATTAACATTCTGAATTATAATTCAATAGACATTGAAATATAAAATATAAATATATTAATGGAATTAGACACTAGAACAACACAGCATTTTGGTCCATTAAAAACTGTATTCAATAGGCTACACTGTGGACTGCCCTCTGCTATACTGTGCTACCTCCTGGGGTGGTGGCAGGAAGTGGCATGCACTTGTGGCATGGCAGGAGGTGCGATTGTGCGGATCACTCATTAGATCATATTGCACCTTATTGCCAGCTCAGGGGGAGCCCAATCCTGGGTACGTTCAAAGCCATAGAAAAAAAGCTCACAGCACAGCCATGACAGATTCCAATGATTCTGTGAGTTCTGCTAAATATCTTGTCACAAAGACATGAAAAAGGTAGGAAGGAAGCAGGTTTACAAGGAGTTTCTTCCAAGCATGGGAACAAAGGTGCTTGTTTAAAAATTTAATGTAGTTAGATGGCATAATGGGCTATTAAAAGGTGAGAGTTAATTTCTCAGTACTGAATAACAGAGAGTAGGTAGGATGAAGATAAACTATGAAGGGTCTTAATAGTGAATATTTTATTTTTGATAAAGCTCGTAAACTTTATCTGCTAACCAAGACATTCACTGAGATCCTGGGGATGTATTTCAGTAAGCAGGGATACCATGATTTCCCCACTTATGAAGGTGCAGCCCTGGAGAAACAGGGGGAATTGAGGTCTCATTTCTGTAAGTGGAGACAGCTGTGCAGGCATTCCTAGTGATTGAGGGGCCTCATCCTGCCCAGAAAGTCTTGGGGTGTGCAGGATCAGGGCAACTGAAGAGTCTAGGCATGATGCCTTTATGCCTGCCCATGATCTCCTGCCTTAAAGCAAATAGGTATCTGCCACAATAAAGTGGCACAAATTATTACTACCTTTTGTTGCAACCACACTCTGATGCAACAAGAGGTATGGGCATCTATTTTCTTTAGCTTTTTGCAGCTATAAACATTTTTTGGGGGGTGGTACAAAGGCAAAGCCTGTTTCCACCCTTGGAGATGTTATGTGGAAAGAATCTGAAAGACTAAGCCTACAGCGAGGACCTAGAGACTAGTCAGAATCAATGATGCACAGGTCGTGGGCCTGAGACACAGGTGAAATGGTGGTTTTATCCACAGTGATCAAAAAGAGGTCTTGGGAAGGGCTATGGAGGAGGATTGCATTCTGATTTAGCCATGTTGAGCTTGAGCTGATGGTTAGACATCCACAAGCAGAGACTAAAGAGACTGACCAAGACTTTAGTCTGAACAGTACTTTTGGAATAAAGTAGAGTTACAGAACTGGTGCTTGCATTTGAGTCTGTAGATGTGATTACCTGGAGATAAAGCACAGAAAGGAAAGAGAATAGAACCAATGGCAGGGCGCTATGGAATTTGAATGCAAAGGGAGGCCATGAGCAAGCTCTTCTAAAGGAGGAATAATTACAGAGTTTGAAGGAGAATCAGTCACAAAAGCCAAGAAAGGAAAAGCTTTCAAGAAAGGGACATGGCCGATTGTGTCAAAGGTGGCTGACTGGTAAGGGAGAATGAGAATGAATTGGCAGTTTTGAGATTTGGCTAGGTACAAGTCACATGTATGTTAAAAGCCTGGTTCTTTCCTTGATCTTGGCATTTCTTAAGTTTTTCAGTGTATGGCTTTCTAACCTTAGCAACCTTCATTTGAAAGAGTTTTTGCATGTAAGATATATATATGTATATACATTTTGATAATCGGACATTAAGTTTGATAATGAAGTTCTTTTTTCTATTACTTGTAACTGAAACCTCCATGTTATTTAATAGAAAGGTTTAATATGCATCTCCTATCTTTTCAGCACACTATGTGCTCATTAAACAGAATTGAACTCTAGCAATCTCTTAGTTATTGGGTTATATTTCATATTAAATGTTCTATTAAATTCCTAGTATGCTTAGTCCCTTAGGATACGTTAAAATTTATTCTGTGACAGGTACATTCAATTACATGTTCTTTAGGATAAAGTACAATTCTTCAGTTGACTAGCTTCAGGTTATTATAGGCTAAATTCATATAATTGCCTTTCAGGAACCGCATTTTGATTTATTTTCACCTCCCAATGTGTAGCACTAATGCCAGCTAAATCCAACCAATCTTTTATCAAGATCAGCAGGAAATTAAAACTGGAAACTCTTACATGTAGCAAATACATAAATAAACAAATATATAATTAAACTCATTCTGAAAAGACCATTCATTTTTCTTCTTTTAAATGGATCCAGGATTTTTTTAAGAGACAGATCATTGAGAGGCTGTGATCCATGTCAAGAACCCTAACAAATTTGACCCCTTTACATTATCATCTTTTAAACATATGGGAAATATCTACAAAAGGTAAGTGCACTTATAAAACTGTTCTATAAATAGAAAGGATTGCAAATTGGAGGCAACCAATGCTAAAAGTTTAAGGAATGGGATCTATTTTGTGGTGGTCACTATTTTGGTTGAGAGATATGTACAGAGGTATACATAGGAAGTTTTTGCCAGAAGAACAGTGGCGGCAGCTGGGGTGGTAGGAGTTGCAGTGGCTGCCGTTTTTGCACTCTCCAAGTCAGCATCCAGGGCTGCTATCCTGCTCCCCATCCCCTAATTACGCTACTGGATGGGTATGTCACATATTGGATGGGTATGTCCTTCCTGGAAGAGAGGAGTAGATTCTTTAAAAGTCTGGGTATAGAATTATCTATAGACACTTGCTATGGAAATAATGTTTTGAAGCAGGAGAGTACAAAAGCTTAGTAGAGTAGGTAAAGCAAACTGCTTACAGTATGGGGGTTCCACTATACCAGGTAATAAAATTACCTCATTTGGTCAACAGAAATGCTCCCATCATCATTCAAGAAAATTCTGGAGCCAATCACTACCTTTCCAGGGCTTTTGCTTCAAAAGCATTTTTTTTTAATTTCTGAATTATTTATATATATACATATACACACACATATATAGATAGATATATAGATATAGATATATATAGATATATAAACAATATCTATCTAGCTATAGTAAAGAAAAAAATATATAATGTAAAATAAAGATAGAGGAAAAACTTAGCCCAATAAAAAGATAGATTGCTTTAGGGGAAAAGCAACAACAACAACAACAACAACAACAACAAAAACAGTATGCTTCAGATGTACATGTTAGCCTTTTAAAATACATGCCCACATTCCTTTTTCATCTGAGTCATTATGTCTATAACTTATTTAAGGAGAAAGTTGGAACAAGTCACATAAAATATTAAAATAAAAATATATTACTCAGAATCTGCCTACTTAGCTCTCAACAGGTCTTGATCTTTCAGTGCTGAACCTTGCAGATAGATAACCCTCTGGGACCACATTGGGATTTGCAACACCCTTCGGACCTGAGCATCCATCTCAGTTGGACACAAAATAACCACATAATAATCCTGTCAAAACATAAGGGAATGTAGAAAAGGCACATTAATTACTTAATATTGCCTTCTGTTGTTAAAGGAGAATTGGCTAATAGAAAATCTGGAGGTTGAAAAAGGTCTGTGATAAACCAGGAATCCTGGTTTTCTCTGATTTAAAAAAAAGAAATCCCCAATTTTCAGTTAAATAACAACCCTAAATCTACATTTTTCCACGATTAAAATGAAACATCATTATATATATATACACACATATATCTATATCTATATATATAGATATATATCTATATTTATATATCTATCTATATATATATATACACACACATATATAATTTTAATAATAAAATAAATTCTAAATACCTATACATCCTGGCATTTGATTTTGAGTTTTTTATCATAAAAAGTCAGAGCTCTCCCTGCCTCCTTCACTCACCAGGATGCAGATCCAGCTGAAGCTGCCCCCCGCTCCGTAACCCCCTACTTTGTGGCACTGAGCAGCCCTGATATGCTGGTGCCCTGCCCATGCCATTACCCCTCGCTCCCAAGCCACAGGCCCTCAGGCCTTCTGGTGGCCCTCACTCCCTACCCACAGCCCCCTGCACCCCCAGCCCTGCTGGAGGGTGACCACAGCTACCAGGCCTATGCAGCCAAAGACCAAGGTCCCCCTGCCCCCCCCACCCCCAACAGTGCCTGAGCCCTGGCTGCTGCCCATGGGTGGCTGTGGCAGAGCAGAAGGTAGAGCCTGGCTTCCTCTCCCCCATGGGTAGCACAGGCAGAGCGGATCCTGTGAGGCTGAGGCAGGGGTGGGCTGCCTGCTGTGACCTAAGAGCTCCCCATCCTGCTGCCCTCCACTTGGGCCTTCACAGCCCATTGAGTAGGACCCAGTGTGTAAGGGTAGAGCACGGCAGAGAGGCTTGTGCCACTACAGGGAGCCCCACACTGCCATGGAGAGGCACTTCTTGCTTGCCTGGCAGGAGCAGGGGGCACAACTCTGCACCACCACCCCTGCTGCCGCTGGGCAGGCAGGGGGTGCCTCGCCATGACAGCACAGGGCTCCCTCCGGTGGCACTGAGCTTCCCCACCTGGCTCTGCCCTGACATGCCGGGCCCTGCCTGCTGGGCCATGGAGGCCCTGGTGGGAAAGCAGCAGGGTGAGCAGCCCTGAACATGCAGTGGGCAGCTTGCCCCCAGCCCCACTCTGTGCACAAATCATGGGCCCCCTGGGAGTGTGTGCAGTAGCAGGGAGCCAGCCACCCAGACAAGCTGCCCACAACTCCATCTCACTCCCCACCTGGGCTCTGCGGCCAAACATGGCCCCAGACCCAAAACCCCATGAATCACATTGGCTGGGCAGCAGCCCCAGCCCTGCCCAACTCCCTTCCTCAGTATGGGGACCTCAATACCTCCACCCCACCTCAGCTTACCTATGAAGAGCTCCAAGAACTGCTCTCCAGGGTGCCTGGTGGCCATATACATGTATAAATGGTACCCCCTGCCTGATCGCCTTCATCCCATTCACCCCAGCCCCTTGAAGGCTGTAACTCTGCCACCCTGCAAGGGGAAACCTGCCTTTTCCTGCATTTTTCTCATTTAAAGGAGAAAATGTGGGTTTTTCTCCTCAAAATGAGAAAATCTGGGTTTTACTGAATTTTTCTGTGGTGAACAGAAAACCAAATCCCTGCTTAGCAGTAATCTTCTGTTTCAGGATCTTCATTTATTACTCTGTTTTCTCCATTTCTGTCTTAATCATTACAGTGAGACAAACCTCACAAAGTCAGCAGAAAAACTCTCAGTGACTTCTGTGGAGGTTTTGGATTAGTCCTCTAAATACCAAAGGGAAAAAGAAATAACCATGTTGTAATTATTTTTCATGTTTTGAGCTAAAAGAAAATTATTTGTATTAAAATATTTGAGCTTAATTTAAATAAATCAAAGTATTTGTGACAAAAGCATAATTCTATCTGTCTAATCCACTTAGCTCAATTTAAAACAAAGGCATGTAATAATACATCTGAGTTTCTTATTATAGGTAGTTTCCCCATTCAAACTGAATTCAGTTCCACAAATTGTAGCTGTTCCAGAAGGCTGTCTGCAATGAGCTAGTATCTAACTGAGTTTCTTATTATTTTTGTTACATTGTAAATATACCTGCAGTCTGGGATGAGCATAGAACTCATTTAAGAAATCCATAAGCAGATCAATCTTCAGAGAGCTAACACACAATACAACATGTTTCTCTGTCTGAGCTCTGTGTCGACTGTAGTTACCACCTGACTTTTGCCTCTCCATCCACAAATAAGCCAGCTGTTCAAACTGCAATAGATTGTAAAATGTAAATGAAACACACACGATTAACATAAGATTCGTTATCATGATGAGTTGTTGATGTTTCCAGGTGCTCATTTAATCAAGGTCAAATTTGCATTCTGTTAGTCATTCTTGCTTTACAAGAGCAGCAATTTGAAACAATCTGGATGGAATGAGAGATTGGATGTTTCATTAATAAATTAGGATGGCCCAAATGAAGCAATCAGAAATGCTGAGTATCAAAACTGGATTAAATAATGAGGGTTTTTTTTTTTTTAATCTAAACAATAAATACTGCATCTCCTTATTTAGTTTCTGGTGTTTAAATCTGAAGGCTCATATTTTCCATCCTCTCTCTTCCCCCTCCTCACCCACCAAGTTAAAACTGATATTCTGATGTAATTACATAATTACATGAGATCAGGAGCTGGGAATCTAAAAGAAACACCAATTTATTACACTTATAATGATTTAGTTGGGGTAATATCTGAGTCCCCCCCTCTGTCTCCCCTCCCCCCCTCCAAATTTAAGACTCTAAAGATAGTAGCATTTGATACAATCAAGTCTGTGAATAGTCTCTGTTTGGCATGCTGTATCAATACTGACAACACTTAAATCTATGGCGAACAGGAACAATGCATTCTGTTCTGCTGCTGTTTCTTGTTTGTTTAAGTATCAGCTATAGCAACTGTTAAACAGCATTTTTCCTTTGCCGCCATACTTAGCACACACTGCCTTACCATGAAACCTATTTTCTAATCCAATAAAGGTAAATCTAGGATGCAATGTGTTCTGTGATGTAACCAGTCATTAAAAGCATATGAGCAATGTTTCAGTAAACTGCATGTAAAAATATTTTATAAAGCTCATACATACCATTTCAATTTTAAAATTGTTTAAAAAATACAGGTAAATGTTAACAACATGGTTCCCAAACAGGTTTTTTCTTGTATTCCGATTCTACATATGGAAAACTGACACAACTTGTTTCTAATCAATTCAGTATCAGAGCCAAAATATGAGATCAGGATATGTTCCCATGCCACCACTCATCTTTTGCTCAGACCACAACATCGAGTCTCTCTCTTGCTACAAGTCTACTTAAATATTGTTGTTGATTAGCTATACATTGGAAACCTTTAGGATGCTGCACGTGGATGCAGACCTCTTCTGCTCAGCCATCCCTATGATAAAGCTAATCAAGATTAAATTAACATTCCAAATAAAAGTTTTGAAATAATTACAATTCCAAGAAGAAATGTGACCTTGTTCATGGCACAGATCCTGGAAGCCCTGAAAGGCCTTGGGGTTTCTTGGTTTCTGGTTTTTAGGTGTGTACGAGTCGGCAGTGATCTGATCTGGCTTCGGATCCAGCCACTTCGGATGGCCATGATCCGATCCAGAGCTCCAGACTGGGTTTCCACCTCGATCCGGCTGAAGCGGCTTCAAAGCTTTGGAACTGCCTCGAAGATCCAGCCATAGGGTATAGTGGAGAATCAATGGAAGATCTATAACGTTGTTGTTTTTTATCCAATTTGGATGAAACTTGCAGGGATGGTAGCCTCTGTTGAGAGCATGAAACTTTCCAAGTTACAAGAAGATTGGTGCAGGGGTTTTGGGGGAACTATATCCCAAATTCTTGAAAGCCAAACTCATGTCACAACACAGTGGGGGGTCAAAACTGCAGGGCTTGTAGCTCTTAAGGCCACAAAGCTTGCCAAGTTTAAGATCAGTGCTGGGGTTTGAGGGTACTGCACCTCAAGCTGCGGACAAGCAAAACTCGTGCCATGGGTGACACTGCCTGTGCTAAGGCACTGCGGGGTGACAGCTGCAGGGATGGTGGTCCCTGCTGTGAGTCCTGCCAGCTGTGGAGGAGATCAGTGCGGGGGGCGGTCTGGGGCCCTGCCCCCCTAGCTGCTGACAGGCAAAACTCGTGCCAAGACTGTGTCTGTCTTGGGGCAGTTGATTGTCTGTATTGATTCTTTCCTCTCCTTAGCCTGGTTTTGTAGGTGCTAATTGATGCTCGTTAAGTCGGTATGTAGTAGCTAGGTCCTGTGTATTGAGCTGACCCCTGAGTCCCTGGTCCCTGAGTGAATTATGAGTGAGTGATTGGTAACTGGTAACAAAGTAGTTTAGCAGCCAGGCCTGCAGTAGTGTCTCCCCTCCCCACCCCAAGACAGACACAGAGTCAGTCCCACAAGCATCTATGGCATGAGTTTTGCTTGTCCTCAGCTTGAGGGGCAGTTCCCCCCAAACCCCTGGACCAATCTTCTTGAAACTTGGCAAGCTTTGTGGTCACAGCAGGAGCTACTGCCCCTGCAGTTTTTACCCTGCTATGTTGTAACACATAGACATGACAGGAGTTTTGTTTTCAAGAATTTAGGGTACAGCTGCCCCAAAATCCCTGAACTGACCTTCTTGAAACTTGTCAGACTTTGTGGCCTCAGCAGAGGCTACCAGCCCTGCAGTATTCACCCTGCTATATTGTAACACCTAGACATGAGGAGTTTTGCTTTCAAGAATTTGGGTGCTGTTCCCCCCAAACCCGTGCACCAAAATTCTTAAAACTTGACAAACTTCGTCCTCTCTACAGAGTCTACCATACTAGAAAATTTCATCCAAATTGGACAAAAAACAACAAAGTTATAGATATTTTATTGTTTCCCCATTATACCCTATGGTCGCATCTCCGAGATGGCTCCAAGGTGGCTCCGAACCGCTTCGGGAAGCCTAACAAGGCCAGCACTTCGACTCGGATGTGCTGCTTTGGACCCTGAAGTGTCCAAAGCTTCTCTGGATCCGAAGCTCTGCCCGAAGTCTCGCACTGCCCTACTGGTTTTGGACAGGGAAACTGGGAATGCTGGAGGCCCAACCCTGGGTCAGTCAATACAGTGAGATTGCCACAGAATGATCTGCAGACTCTGGGGGCTGGGACAGACATTGCATAAACCAGTCTGACCCAAATCAGTTAAGTATGATACTACATTCAACCAGGTTTACTTCAAACTGGTTTCAGCCATTTTTAAACTCGTTTATGTAAACTGAATACCTGTTCTGTTACAAGTTTAGATCAATTCCTGATCACTTAAACTGGTTTATGTGTAATGTCTATCCCTAGCCTGGAAGCTTCAGGATCCTCCAGCAACTCAGCTGGCAAATGCAACTTGCAAATTGCCATGAAATATTTTGGCTTTGACAAATTGGTATGTCTGTTGAAAACCCTTTCTTCATATGAAAAATCCCAACCCTCCATAACATATAGAAATGCCAAGGTTTTTTACTGAAGTCAAAGTTTAAATCAGACTTTTTCCAGTTGAGGGTGAAGTTTACACATTACACTTAGACAATACTAAGGGCACTTAAAATGCAAGCACCCACAGGTTAAAGCTCACTGACACAGGCCCCAAGCTCCCACCTGGCTGCCGCTTGCTCCTGCATGCCCATTCACTCCCAATGCCCCTGCCCCAGCCCCGCAGTACAGGCAGGGAGCAGCGCACAGCCCCAACCCTGTGCTCACCCATGGAGAATGAGCTGGTGCTCAGTGCAGGGGAAAAGTGCCCCACCTCATGCCCAGTGCTTCCTGCTGCAGACTCGCACTGCCCGTGCAGGGCTGTCCTGCCTCTCCACCATTTCACTGCTGCCCCATGGGGCAGTGGTGGCCATGGAGAGCAGGCACAGGCAGCCCTGCATGGGCTCTGAGTTGCTGCAGCCGGGGGTGCTGGCCACAGGAAGGGGGAGTGGCTGCTTTTCCCCTGTACTAAGCACCAGCTCACTCCCCAGAAGATGCTGCTCAGAGCAGAGGAAAGCAACCACCCTCTCATCACCGCCATGCAGTGTTTGGTGCAGCTGCTTCACCGCTGCACCTGGGCTGCCCAGTGTGGCAGCAGTGGTTATGCAAAGCAGCTGATAAGCAGCACAGAGGTGGCGGTAAAGGGCTCTGGGCGGGCAGCCACAGCAAACACTGGCCAGCAGCAGCATGCAGGGTAGCCACTTTTCTCTTTGCCATGCAGCAGCTTCTACTGGGCTGCTGCTGCCATGGTTCAGCCCTGATGGGAGATCCAGGAGTTGGTGCGGGGCCCAGATTAGCAGCGGTGGCAGGGAGCGAGCTGGTGCTCACCGCAAGGGAAAAGCAGCCACTCCCCCTTCCCACTCTGAGCCTGTGCATAGCTGCCTGTGCCTACTCTACTTTGCCACCCCTGCCCCACAGGGCAGCGTTTATGTGGCCGAAGGCAGGACAGCCCCATATGGTCTGTGAGCAGCTGCAGCACAGGGTGCCAGGCAGGTGGGGGAGGGAGGGGAACGTGATTTTCACCCACGCTGAGCACCAGCTTGTTCACTGCAGGTGAGCATGGGGTCGGGGCTGTGTGCTGCTCCCCGCCTGTATCACAGGGCTGGGGTGGGGCCACTGGGAGTGAGCAGGCACATAGGAGCCAGTGGCAGTCAGGTGGGAGCACGGGGCCCATGCCAGTGTCCCGGGGCCAGTGCTGGTGGGGCCCAGAGCAGGGCGGCAGAAGCGTGGGGTCCCAGCCAGCAGGGGCTCTATGGAGTGGGATCAGGTCTCCACTCTCCCTGCTGTTGCAGGCCAGCCCAGCTCCACAGACCCCTACCAGCCCACGCCCCATGCTCCTACCGCCCCACTCTGGGCCCTGCTGGTGCTGGGCCCAGGACATTGGTGTAGGCCCCATGCTCCCGCTCACTTCCACTCCCCTCTCCTGCCCCTTTCTCCACTTTCCTGCCCAGCCATCTGCATTACATGGCTCCCATATCCACATCCATACCCACACACACACATCCACACATACCCATAAACCCCATATTCATTCACTTCTGCATATATACCACAAATGCCTACAAATCAGGACAAAAATATTTTTAAAAACTAAATTAAAACATATTATAGTGGTAAGAGGTTAGGGGAAGAACTTCCAGTCCCAAGATGGTGACCAGGGGGTGGGGCACCTGTTAAGGGGTGGGGCTACCTATGCAGCCCTCGACAGCTTGCCAAAACTTGGTAAGCTGCCCTCCGCCCAAAATAATTGCCTGCCTCTTGTCTAAGTAACTTCAAGTAACGAGTAACTTCATAATAAGTAACTTCATTCTAACTCTAGCATAGGAATGCAAGCAGAGAGAATCGAAGGTAGTAGCAGAGAGAGTGCACAAGATGAATGCAGCAATCATGATTTGCTGGTGCTGTTTAAGTTAGTAATAAAATCAAATCCTAAATTGGGGATACATTTGAACAATATGCAAGGTCTATAGGTTCCGTAGTATATGAAAAGTACCACCTGCTTACACAAGGATTTGAAAATTCATGCCCTGGTAATTTTCTCATACAAACACAGTCTACAAATATATTTTAAAAACAGGGAGAAAAGAAAGCTCCAAGTGTGATTGCAGAAAAGGGGTTAGGTATACAGATAGTAAGGGCAATTTTAATTATTATCAGTTTTTTGACCTTTTTTTTCCCCCTAAATACTCTTAAATGGAAAACAGTTAGGGTTTACCTGTATGGGTAACACCACAAGGGCAACACAGATCATAATGACAACCAGCAGTTTTGAAGGCCATATCTTGGGTGTAACATCCCCAAAGCCCACAGTGGAAAATGTCACTATGCAGAAATAAAGGGAGTCAAAGAGAGTCAGCTTGTTTCCTGCTCGCTCCAGATGCTGAATTCCACAAATACTAAGTGAAAGAGAATGAATAGAGACATGAAAAATAACACACACAGCTTGGATAAATCCAAATTCTATGATGTAGTTACTAGTATAAATAATAATTTTTCTACAAAAGCATGCATTGCTTAGCAAAGACATATGTTTCAAGAATAGTTTTTTCAGGTTCTTACCAAAATGTGTTTTTTAAATTATTTTTAAATGTAATTCATCATCAGTTCTAATTGTCATCTTCTCCTTATTTCAAAAAGACTTGGTCATATTGCTAGATTTTTATTAGTGGTAGGCATCAAAAAGTAAGTATTGTTACATATAATAACCATATGTATTGGTAAATAGTCTTTGTAACAAACAGCATACTCTGCAAGTCTTCAGAATTTTTTTTAACCATATTTTATTTTTTGCAAAGAGATTATTATTTTGTGGCAAAAAAACAGTGCATATCTTCTTTGCACTTGGTAGTTTTCTGTTAGGTTACATCATTTTTTTTGGCAAGAACTACTAGCTCACACTACTGGAAATGGCAAGTGACAGGGGCCAGATGATTTTTTCTTTGTCAGTTACTACACATCAGGATAGCTTGTGGAATTATCTCAAGTGGTCTACCAATATCTCTTGCTAATTTGATGCTGCGCTGAGAAAATGTGAAGTCTATTTTCAGTAAATACAAACTTCTAAGATAGAAGTCAGTTCAACCAATGTATATGAATACTCCCTGAAATCTTGATGGACAGATCTCATATTTGTAAAAACTGGAGTTGAAAAAAACATAGATTTGAAGTGCAAGAACTTCTCCTGTGCCAGTGGGGAGAAGTGGTTGGTTGTGGTGGTAGTTGGGTCTTATAACTGACCTGTTTCTGACCTGAGTTCAAAAAGTTTCTGGCCAATGACCCAGTATACATGACAAATGACTGTTTGATGCATGATATCCAGCCGGTAGCAGTTGACCACTAGAATTCCCCAGGGTGAAAGCCTTGTATCACCAGGGAGCCCCAGTATTTATAACAGTGCTAGCAGTTGCACTGCTCTGTTCTCCAGAAATAATTTACTAGTGGGCTGTGGCATTTCCATAACATATGGATCACATTCCTTGTTTCCTTTTCACAGTTCTAGCATTTGTAGTTTTCACACATCTCAAAATGTTCTAAAGATTATTTTTGTTGGAAAAGTTTCAGCCTTCAGTCAGAATTGATTAATTTATATTCCTACGCATTTTGTTCCAGATTTTTTCACTGAAGTGGCAGCTCAGATCTTTCCTCCATAATCACATTAGCTTATCCATTTTTAAGAAAAAGACAAATGTATATATTTTTGAAGAGGTGCATTTTATTTTTGCCAATATGTCCTGAAAAGTTAATGAGAGGAATCATTTGGGACTATCACCAGAGTGAAAGAGTTAAATTAATATTCCACTGATGCCAGGTAAGGAAGTCTTCAGTATGGCTTCCTTTTTAAAGTCCCCTTGTATCAGGCTACTTTTTTTAGTATTTAAAATAAAGAACTTTCCCACAGGGAAACACATTCTTGAAAAATGGGTTATTGCAAAATTAAAATGCCTCTACATTGCACCTGTTTTTTAATCAAAAGTGTGTTTGGATTCCAAACTCTTCTATTATTATTGGCTAGCTTTGTGCATTTCTCTCATTGAATGAAATTAATCACATACTGAGATTCTGCACAGTATATTGGACATCTTTTTTAAGCAATTCAAACTCTTAATACCTTCTACTTATCTGTAGAATCTGAGATGATAAGCTACAGTAATGGCTGAATATACAGAAAATATCTATTTTTAAAGTGTAGGACCTGATTCTTCCTCTTTTATATAATTTTACATGTTTGTAACTCTGTTTATCAGTGCTACCACATTTCAGTGCAGTCAAATAAATGATTTAAACATAACATTGGTATAGCAGAGGTTTCAAAGCAATAGGAAACTCAGACAACACACCTATTAAAACAGAGATACAGAAGAAAAAAGAATGTAAATGCATGAAGAACAGTTTAAAAATCTACCAAAATTAAAAAAAAAGAAGTTAAAAACAATAACACCCATGATCTCTAAAGATTAGGAAAGATAAGCCTTGTTTAGATACCATTTGAACTTTGGAGTGTTCAGCAGCTTCATTTACTGGAACATTTTTGTGTTTCCTGGAATCTGTGATTACTTATTTTGCATGTGCCAAACTACACAAGGGTTTTAAAAAAGCCTATCTCTCCTAGCTATGATATCAAAAAATATCAGATGCAAAAGGGCTGCTCTCTATCAACTGAGGACTGGTTTCCTACAACAGGAATTTAATGTTTCTGACTAATTGCTTCAATGGATTTCTATGTGTTTGTGGGGAATAGAGATTGATTTTAGGAAGTATCCAACAGTTTAATTATAAATAATACTTTGATTGGAGTTAGCTGTAGTAATTCAGTGTAGGGTGATCCCTATAATGGTCAGCTTTTACCAGTATAGTGTCTCATACTTTATCCATCCATTCTTGCAGCCAGCATTTCTGACCTGGTCAAGAAGAGGGGAAGATGTCCAGGGACTTCCCATGCCTCAGATATCCCTGATTGCCATTAGTGGCTGTCAGAAATCAAAACAGCCTATAGCTTACCTTAGGAATACTCTAGGAATTAGAGAGCATGGACATGTCAAAATGCCCCTTTATGAGGATGCTTCTCCTAAGTTATGTTCTCAGTTACATCCAAATAACTAAAGAAATATTTTTTATAACAGTTTATAAATTTTGAGCCGAATACCCCAATTTGCAATTAGTGTCATAGTGTAACAAGTGTCATAGTTGCATATTGTTCAGGTCAAAATACAATTTGGTAAAGAAGCAGATCACATAAATGTCTTGTGAAAATAAAAAATATCAGGTACTAAATTCTTGTATAATTTATTCAATATTCTTATCAATATAGATTTGTTTTTAGCAGAGCTATGAAGTATTTTATCTGGAAAATTTAAAATCTCAGTGGAATGTGAAAAGACAAGCTTAGTTTTTGTTTGCTTGTTTGTTTTTTTAAATCTGATTTCCACTAATTTGTGAGCATCCTAAGGTAGGAATCAATAATTGTTGGGGAATAAAATCATGCTCCAGATTAAATTAGATTTGAACCATGCTGTTCCAAAAAAGCTTAGATGGAAAAATCTAGCAGCAGCAAGGGTAGCTTATATTGGGATTTTAAAACAATGCATGTGTAATGTCATCTTTTATAATTATGTTTATCACACTACTCAGGGTACCAGATAGTTTAGCACCATTCACTCAGAGGTTCCTGGTGCAAAGCTCTTACACTCTAATAGGGCACAGCAAAGAGTCACTACAAAGACATAAAGCTGAGAAATTGGAGGAGAAGGGATCAGGAATCTGGAACTGATCAAATTGAAACATTGGAAATGAATTTTTCCAATAAAGATAAAAATTAATAATTATTCACAACCAATAATTTGATCAGACCTACCTAAGCAATATAGTAAAAGGCTATAACATATGCAGACATGAATTTTCTTGCTATAGAAATAATCATATAGTGAATTTCAGAGGTGTATGAAAAATGTATTATGCACCTTTGCTTACCTCCTCTACTTGAGGCAGTCTCATTGTTTGTACAAATATTGTGTGTATTATGCCAATCATCAATCTAAAATGTTTGAAAGGAAACCTGTTACTTGGATAAGCTAATTAACAAAAGCTCTTTGGAGAAGACACTTTGCTGATATTCTTAGTTAGCATTTACATAAAATAAATAAAGTAGACAATACCATCCACTATGCTGTAGAAACATAAAACAATAACATTTACATGTGACTACTGGCTTCATGTTTAGACAGCATAGTGATGGGGGTGTATGAGAAATACATTTTTTAAAAAGTTGTAACTCTGAAGATGATACTGAAGCAAATATCTTGCGGGAGGCAATGAGGAATTTTCTGGATAAAGTCTTCACAGATATGACCCTAGGAACACTGCTCTCACACTAGGTTAATCATTAATTGACCAACAAGACCATTCATTTTGTTTGCTTGATTGATTTTAAGATTATTTCAAGGATGTCTGTATGTAGAAAAAAGTTGTTTTCTGTCTTTACGGGAATGGTAGCAGTCATATTTCCCATCAGGAAAAAAAAAGGTTGAAAAATGTTTTTTGAGTGGGTGGAGTAACATTTTATGTACAAATAATCTGAAACATGTCTTTGGCTATACTTCACCTAGAGCCCAATACTACATCATATGCTGATATTGACTTCTTAAGAGCAGGCACTTGAAAAAAACTTTGATTTGACAATAGCTGGAACTACCAGCCTTAAGGAAAAATTGATGTTTGGCAGAGTTTGGCATTCTAAATGCATGCCCAGGAGGAAAATACTGAAGATTTTTTATCTTTAAATTGTAAAAGAAAAAGTTGGCTTTAATATAGGTCTATTTTGTCTTAATTACCAGGCAATTCTTGAAGGTTTGTATGCTCAAACTAAAATAGAGATGGAAGGGACCTCACAAGGTCATCTAGTTCAGAATCCTATTCACTGAAGGATCATCCCTGACTAAACCATCCCAGTCAAGTGCCTGTCTTGACATTTTTCAGATAGAGATTCCACAGCTTCCCCAGGTAGCCTATTTTAATGCTCTACCACCCTTATAGCCCTAAATTTCTCCTAATCTCCATCTTAAATTCCTTCTGCTAGTTTGAGGCCATTGTTCCTAGTCCTATTCCCTATGTCCAAAGAGAAAAGTCTGTTTCCATTCTGTCCATAATCACCCTTCAGGTCTTTGGAGACTGTTATCAAATCCCTCCTTTAGTCTTCTCTTCTCCAGGCTAAATAACCCTAGTTCTTTCAAACTTTCTTCATAAATCATAGTTCACAGGCCCAAATCATTTTTGTCACCCTGCACTAGACTCTTTCCAGTCAGTCCACATCTTTTGTGAGGTGTGCAGCCCAAAACTAGACAAGAGTACTCCAGGTGAAGCTTTACCAGTATTGGAAAGTGACACTTCTGTTAATGATACC